CTCTCTCTCTCGCACGCACGCGATATTAAATATCGCCACGCGCGCTCGCGCTTGTGCGTGCACGCGCGCGCCCCGCAATATTTACGTTTAGTCTCGCGCAAAATATTTGCGCCGTGTTTGAATCGGCCGTATTACACGTATCGCATGAACCCGAAAACGACAACAATCTGCGTGTGAGAGCACTACCGTTGTAGCCTACACCACCGCCGACATCAATGGTTCATCGAATGACTTTCCCCAGTGTCGGGTGACAGAGCTTTTAGACTCCATCCATGAGTAAACCAATCCGATGACTGCGAACGTATTACTATTATATCCGCACGCCGGTCCTCTCTCGCACAGCCGCCCTTCCCGTCCCTTTCTCACCACCACCCACGCTCTCGAATCGCACGAGCGTGTAACGGAAATGATTTACCGTTTTGCTATGGCACACATACACACACGCGTGCGCGCGTATGTGTGTCTACATATACAAGTATGTATGTATGTATGTATGTGTATGTACGTGTACGTACGCGTGGGCGTGTGCCTGTGTTTGTATGTACATATGTGTATAAATATATATATATATATATATATGTATATGCAAACGCAAATGCGTCATCAAACCCATTGTTACCTGACGATATATTTATGCAACTGCACATTAAGCATAGTAGACGTGAGCGCACCGCGTGCCGTATCATTACGTCGTAAAATGTATTAAACGCATTCTGGCCGGAAGGACGACGCGCGCGCGCGCGAGAGAGAGAGAGGGAGAGAGAGAGGACGGATTTTTCATTATTACTGCCGGCGATTTTTAACGTAAGTCTGAAACGCGAGTAAACAGGTGGGGCGAGATGAGATGAACATGCGGTGGGGAATGCGAGCGCGAGGAAGACGACGATTCTTTTTTTCTCCCCCTTCTTGTTTCTTTCTTTTTCTTTTTTTACGCGTGCGGGACCGCGTATGCCGAGAAGACGCATCGCTCTGATCCGAGATCAGACTTTACTTCGAGCGATAATCGCGATACATCACGTGTCCTCTCGCAGACCAAGGTAGATAGACGGCGAGCGAGTGAGAGTGAGAGAGAGAGAGAGAGAGAGAGAGAGAGAGACCGAGTTTGATCGCGTCTGATTGTATTCGGAGACGAATTAAGCCGTTAATTGCGACTTCCCGTGAGGATAATCTCGCCTCATTAGATAATCCTGACATCGCGCGCTACCTTTGCTTCTACGAAGCTCAATAACGTCAAAGACCGTAATTGGCCGATTCCGCAGCCGGTTGAAATGGAGTTTCGCGTCCCGCACGAGCTGTGAACGGGAAACGCGAGATATCAAACATCCTATAGGCATATCTTCCACCTCCTCCTCCTCCTTCTCCGCCGTCGCGCCTCCCGCGCGATCTCACTATGGCTTTTCCCAGCCGCCGGTCGATTTTTCGCGACGGATGATTGATGCGCGAATTCCGCGACCACGCGCGTCCGCTCGTATATCGGCGCGCGATCGAGAGAAAGAATAACTCGGCCGCGCGCGCGCGATCGCGACACCGTGTATATATCGTCGATCTCTCTCTCTCTCTCTCTCTCTCTCTCTCTCGGCGAAGTATATCCTCTTTTGCAACGCGGAAAACAAAGTGATTAGTTACTTTCAGGATATAATTATACCGCGCGTATGCGCAACGCCGGACTCCGGTAATCTTCGCTATTTATAATCTCAATGGCGGCGTTTCATCCTGCGTCGCGGCCACAGTTACGCGACGTGACGAGACGCAAAGGATCTTTTTGCTACTGAATCTTTTTTCTCGAACGGTTCAGCAATCGTCACCGCTCGGACAATATATTCGTTTTTTCCTCTTCTTTCTTTTTCCCTCCCTCATCTCTTTTTCTCTCTCTCTCTCTCTCTCTCGCCCTCGCCCTCGCCCTCTCCCTCTCCCTCTCTCCCCATCTACCTCTGTTTTTCTCTCCTCGTCTTCTAATCGCTACGCGACGTATGCGCGAAAAAAAGGTGGAAACGGGCCGTTTATTAAACGCCTTCAGATAAAGCGTAAAAAAATACTTTGCATAATTTGCATCTCAACGTAAGATAACGTTCACTTGTTAGCTCTTTCATCAGCAAAAATGCGACGTGCGTGCGCGTTTATAACCGGAGGTGTCATGAACTCCTTGAACTCCTTGCGGCGGCGATGACGACGACGACGGCGGCAAGAACTTTAAGAAACGATCAATCAAGGCGTCACGTCGTTATTTCATGCCCATCTATGTAGAAATAATGAATGTGGCCAATGTGTCGTAATTGCGGTGCATCTCTCCGGCCAGTTTGCCGGCAATTTCGAAAAAGCAAGTAACGTGCCGCGGCGGAAAGGTTAATACCAGCTAAAGTTCAACCGCACGCTTCTGACAAGAGCCCCGGCGGCGCGGTATCGATACCTCGTGCCGATATGCTCAACTCTGCACCACGAAACAAGCGATCTTTGTCTCCCTCTTCGGGAGCCCAGAGCCCTCTTCTCTCTTTCTGTCCTTCCCTCTATTTCTCGCCGATCGAGATTTCGAATTTCACCGATGCGGCAAACATTTTAGCGGGTAATGCGAATATCGTTGGCGCGTATACTGTGTACTCGCGATACAATCAACAAAAGTATCGACCCCCCGCTGTGTGTAGTTGCGAGCGTGTCTCCGGCTAACAACAACGCAGCCGAACACTCGGCGGAGCGCGCGCGTCAATCCGCGCCAATTTGCGTGGATGCTGTGCGAGTAAATTCGCCAAATGAGTCTCGCGACTCCGAACGCGACTACGACGACTACAACTACGATTACGACGACGTCGACGACGACCACGATAACGACGACGACGACGACGACGACGACGACGACGACGACGACGACGACGACGACGACGACGACGACACGATGTTCACTCGGTTACGCGCGATAATTAAGTGTCGTTCGACGATGTTCGCCCGCGTAGCCTCTAATATCGCAGCTCGCGCTGTAATATCTGTAATCCGCGCAAAACGATTTCGACGCGTGGCGACAACGGGCGCATCGGCGTGCCCCGCGCGCGCACCGTGCCTCATAATTAGTCGAAAGACACAGAGGGACGGCGGAACGGAGGGAGAGACCGAGACAGATGGACCGAGAGAGAGAGAGAGAGAATGAGAGGGAGACAGAGGGAGAACGCGCGCGCGATCATAATTGCCGCGCGCGCGTTCGCGTCGCGGCCGGCACAATCAATTAAATGGCGCGTCGAGTCGCGAGATGGAACGGCGGCCGGGTCCATTTATAAAATCGACGTCCTTTTTTTCCTTCGAATAATCCCTAATTGAGTGCTTCGCGGCCGCGCGCGTCCCGCTTTTGTATCGGAAAGATAAATTTCGAAAAATCGACTGGTAGGCAGTTTGTAAACGCGAGTCGTCTCGCCCGTTTGCGTTCGAGGTCGACTTTTTGCCAAAGATCCTTTTTTTTTTGTTTTTTTTTCTTTTTCTACTTGGCACGAACTCGAGATTTATCTCCATCGCGAGTGTTCTTTTTCTTCCTTTCTGCGACTAGTGATTATTTCAAACTCTTGAAATTTGCCCGTTGTTCTCTCACTGTTCCTCTTTCCTCTCTCTCTCTTTCCATTTAAACGGTGAAAAGCTCTCCTCTCTCTCTCTCTCTCTCTCTCTCTCTTAAGGTCCTGCCTGCCGTCCATTGATGTTATCGAATTCGCGAGATCGAACATCGGGTGAAACAAAAAGCGATATCGCGCAGCGCCAAGCAAAGGTGCGCCGCGCGCGCATTTACACCGGCGATACGTGGCAATTATCGCGACGGCGACGGCGTTATCTCGCATCGACACCGCATTTGAATTCTTAATGCATATCTTTATTACCAGTTCGTGACGTAATCGAGATCGATACGTCGTCCGGTAGAACGTAAATTAGACGCTATTACCTTGTACGCGGCCTATCGCGCTTCCTGCGGATTTTTGCTCTCCTCCCTTTCCTCCTCCTTCTTCCTCTTTCCCTTTTCCCTTTTTTTCGCCCTCTCTCTCTCTCTCTCTCTTTCTCTCTCGCTCTCGTAACATACGCGACGACAATTATCCCTCGATAACCGATGTCTCGTGGCAACGCTTTTTAACCGACCTGCCGCGGTGGCGGCGGGCGGCGTTCCTCGGCAAGTTTTAATGAAATGAAAGGAAAAACTCGGGGGAGGGGGAGTGGCGCAAAGTTGCGGGTACCGTGTTACGTCGCGCGAACTGAAACTTATAAAACTTGCGGGGGGTCTTCATTCACTTGTCTTGTCTGTGCGCGAGCAACTTTGGAAAATATGGCAGCGGGATATTTGTGCGCGCGATATCCGCGGGGATTAACGTACAAAGAATAACGTGACATAATTTCCGAGAGAACGCAGGGGCGCGCGCCCCTCTGTGTGTGTGTGTGTGTGTGTGTGTGTGTGTGTGTGTGTGTGTGTAGGAGATTGAAATAAATCTCTCTTTCGTTATTGACCGCGCGTGGAACCGTATGGAAATACGTATAGGCGCAAGGAACCGTCCCGATAAAGGCCACAATCACGTTATGGAAATTTTAATTAGAGAAAAACCGTCCCTCTTTTAAATGTGTGACAGGGAGGAGCTAACTAAAAGAACATTACGGCTAATTTGAAAATTAATTAAATTAAGTGCCGCTTTCTCGTAACCGGTTTGTCAAATGTAATATTCGATATTTTCGATATCAAAGGAAAATTCGATAAAATGTTAAATTATGTTGGAAAAACGTCGGCGGAAAAGGATATTGAAATAATGCGTAATTAGCTCCTAGGTTATTGATTGGTCGTAACGAGACGTTAAATTTGCGAAATTATATACAACGCGAGCGCGAGCGCTAAGAGATTGATTAAATAATCATACGAGGAAATTACGGTAATCCCGTTACCGTGTTCCGCGCCGGTTTCAACTGCTCGCGCGCGGCGATATATATTCCGTCCTGAATCATTAAATCTTAAAAGATAACTTATTATTAAATAGAGAATCGAACAGTATTACCTGTTGCTGCGTGGCGTCACACTGAGCTTCCGGCATGGCCACTTCTGCGAACCAAAAATAAATTCGCAATAAGTACGACATTGAAAGGAAGAAATGGCTGCGGCGTCTCCTCCGCGATCGAACGTGCGCGTCGCGCATTAATTATCGCCTTTCGCGGCTTGTCCGTGCTGTGTATTCGCTTCTCTCTCCCCCTCCGTTTCTCTCTCTCTCTCTCTCTCTCTCTCCTCTCTCTTCGTCACAGAAAAACATTTTTTAACATGACGCGATATGACAAACGAAAGAGAAAGAGAGAGAGGGAGAAAGAAAGAGAGAGAGAGAGAGAGAGAGAGAGACCGGCCGTAGTTATTAGCGCGCAACCATCGTGCACTGCGCTATCGCAGCGATAAGAAGACGCAGTCGATTGTGCAGGTGAAATTGAACGAAACGCTAACGAAGCAAACTATCCGAGCCTGTCGTATCGGAGACGCAAGATTTTATATAAACGCTTGTGTACGAGCCGCACTAGGCGTTTGTCACGATAGAAGGGTAAACAATGCATGAGAGATAGAAAATATGTACTACGACGAGATCGCATGTTAACCGACGCTGTTTCCTGTCTGCTTGCAGGTCGTATCCGTCACCGGTGCAGAACGGAGGACCAAATGGCACGACGACGATGAGCTGCGCGAGTTCTCAAGGTGAGCATCTTATCCGCGAATTGTTTTCCGGTTTCCCTCTCTCTCCCTCTCTCTCTCTCTCTCTCTCTCTCTCTCTCTCTCTCTCTCTCTCTCTCTCTCTCTCTATCTCTATCTATCTCACTCTCTCTCTCTCTCTCTCTGGCGCGACGACGCCCCTCCTCCTCCTCCTCTCACCGTCTCGCTAAAAAATTCAAAACAGTTTCGCTAATTCAATGCGCGGGGGACGCCGCGCAACGTTCGCGCGTTGCATTTAATTACGCTCGCCGCTCGGCGAAATAAAGCCGCCGACTCGCAATAAAAGCTCGTCTCCTCCCTCCCTCCCTCCCTCCCTCCTTCCTCCCGCCCGGCCCTTCCCATCGCCACGGCATACCGAGAGCACAGCGCGGGTGTGCGCGCGAGCGCGAGCGCTCATTAATTAGCGGGGTCCGAAAAAATTTCCCCCGGCGAAATTTTCTTCCGATTAAATTAGCGTTGCATTAAATTTATTGGCTGAATTCTTTTTTATAAAGCGGCGCCTCGCGAGCGCGCGAGGACCGCCGATCGCTTTGGCTCGCTCGCTCGTCTCTCTCTCTCTCTCTCGCTTTCGCTGGCTCGCTCGCTCATTCATTCGTTCGTTCGTTCGTTCGCGCAACACTTGACGTATATAATTTGCAAATATCAAACGTCGACGGATATTTGAAAATATTGACTCTGGTATTTTAGCCGAAGCGCGGCGGCCGGTCGGTCTCTCGGCGCGGCGCGGGAAAAAATTATACCTGCCTCATGACGATTCAATATCGCGCGATTATCGCGGCAAAGGGTACCGAAGGTGTGTGTGTGTGTGTGTGTGTGTGTGTGAGAGAGAGAGAGAATCCCAGACCAGATACAATATTAATTTTATATTTTTCGCCGCTGTGCGACACAAACGCTGCGAGAGAACGCGCTCGCGGGCGCGCGTGCGACGAACGTGTCGGTCGTCGCGCGGCTTGTACGTCCGCATTTGCGTGCGTGCGTGCGCGCATACGTACGCACACGTACGTGTGTATGCGCACACGCATGTACGTATGCCCGCCTGCAAAAAGCTCGTCGCCGCGCGTTTATTCGCGATTGCGAGCGAGCCATTAAACAGATTCGCATGGAATTTCACGACGAAAAAAGGATCGGCGAGGGCGCGGGATGGCGTTCTCGCTCGCTCTCGGAAATTGCACGGAACGCGCAATCGATGAAAAAGCTTCATTTCAACGGGAGCTTATTACGAAATTAATTTTCGTTGTGAAACGACGGGGCCTCTCGCTCGCGCGTACCTTCCTCGACGGCCGGCGCCGCGGCGGTCCCGGAACGTCCGGAAAGAGTCCGTCAGCCATCGTCGTGCAGTCGCTCGCGCGATTGCAATAATCGTTGCCGATGTAACCCGCGCGCGATTAACCAAAGCGCCGATTCTCACCGGCGAAAGAGAACCAACACGGACACGCACGCACGCACGCACGCACGCACGCACGCATGCACGCACTCACTCACGTGGGAGAAAGCGCACAGCGCGCGACGTTCGCGTTTACGTCGCGAGGCTCCCCCGTTCGATACCGCCGGCAATCGGTGCGAAATTGTAAAAAAATATTTCGCGAACGAGACCGGAGAGAAAGAGAGCGAGAGAGCGGGCGAGCGGACACGCACACGCCGCCGCGCCGCGGCGATCGGTGATGCGTGCGCGTGCGGTGTGCGGCACGCACGACAATCGCGCGGCCGAAATATACGCGCCCCGGCAAAATCCGAGGCCAATTACAAACACACCGTCTCACACGCCGGCCTGTCAGTCATCAATCCGCGGAATATTTTTCTCTGGGTCAATTGAACAATTCTACGCGTCGCCGGACAGCCCGGGCTGAGCCGGCCGGGCCGCGTCGCTCGCCTCTGTTCCGCTCCGAGCGGACCGGGCCGATGGGTTTTAATGTATTTGCCGTTAGCATCGCGAGCGAGCGAGCGAGCGAGAGGACGCGAGAGCGCGCGAGGGGAGGGGCGGGGCTTTCAACGGCTAACCGGTAAATCTTCTGACGAGCGATTAACTCGTTTCTCTCGGTACTCCTCAGCTATTAAATTACCATCGACGATACCGCCGGCAATAAAACTTGTTCGGGGTGATACTAAACCGAGCGAAAGGTTACTCCGGACCCCGGTGGATTATACAATAATCTCTTAAATCACTTAAATGTACCGCGCGTTTATTTATTCCCCATCAAATTATCGGCATTACTTTGAGCTTTACGGTCGCGCGCGCGCGCGCGCGCGCGCCGGTGTGTGTTTATCGAGTTTGTCGTCGACGTCCGATGCCTTTTAGCGCGACGCTTTAGTCGCGCGCTCTTTAGCGCCAATCGCCGGCGTGTGCGACGGATAAAACAATGAACGTGAAGAAGGTGACGAAGAAGCAGGAAGAGAGGCCTCGCTGCAGGGAAGCATGCAGTTTCGGACGCTGCCGCGCGCAGGAAATCGTAAAACCGAGGAGGAGGGGGGGGGCTGGGAAGGTTCCACGGTCGTCATCCACTGTAACTCTCCGTTGATTCCGCGGGAACATCCGCGGAGAAGATAAATCTGATCGTTCGGGGAAAACAGTTCAGAAACCGGGCAGAAATATCGAAAGTTCGGTGGCGCGCGATTGCCGGCGCGCAACTGTGTGTAAACTCGGCTGAAAATCCAAGCGGTGCCTCGCCGGTTTATACCTGCAGCTGCCGGAATTAAGAGTTGGACGTTGCTCTTCGCGCGCGCGCGCGCCTTCACCCTCGGTTGCACCGCGGAGGAAGCATCTCGCGACGGTAGTCCCCGTGCGAATTAATAGCGCGATAATTCGAGCTGGCTGACGCGCGGGCTGCACGCGCTCCCGCGCACGGGAGCGAGGAAACGGAAGAAAGTCCCCGGCGAGAGCGATCTGACGAGAGCCGTCTCGTCGCAGCCAAGCCGGCGACGACGTGCGCGCAGCGTGCGCGCGCTAAGCCCCTCGGCGCGAATTTCAGCTCGGTCTCTCGGCGTTTCTCCGCGGATAAAAAGGAGCTCGCATTTCTTTCTCCTCCACGGGACACGAGTGGCCCGAAAGGCATGGCTGGAATGGGCTGGAACGGAAGGGCCGGGGGGATTACCGTCGTCTCGCGGGCCGTCCGCCGCGCGCGCGGCGGGGTTAATTCTCTCTATTTCGCAGTAACGGCCGGCGTTGCGCGTGTCCGGTACCGTGCATTTTTTCGTCCCTTCACGACCTCTCGCCCGTCGTCGTCGTCGTCGCCGTCGCCGTCGCCCTAGCCATCGACGACGACGATGGCAGAGCGAGCGAGATAAGCGCGCCGAAAATCTAAAGGGCGTCGCCCTCTGTGTCCTTGTCTGCGCGCAGGGGTGATGGTGAAGCAGGAGGCGAGGGACGACGGTTACGAGACGAGTCCGGACCTCGAGATGAGGAGCACCGGCGGTGACAGCAGTCAGCAGTATCACACGCCGCTGACACCACACACGCCGCACACACCGCACACGCCGCACACGCCCCTCACGCCGATATCGGCGACAGCGCATCAACCCCAGCAGCCGGGCTCGACCGCCTCCACCCTCGGACAGGTGAGTTTTTCATATATTCGCTTACCCTGCCTGCAGGCCTGTCCTGGCCCCGCGACCTTCCCCGCTCACCCTCCACCCCTCCTCCCCGCCCGCTTTTCCATTCCTTCCTTCCTTCCTTCCTTCCTTCCCTCCTTCCCTCCTTCCTTCCTTCCTTCCTTCCTTCCTTCCTTCCGGCTACCCCCGGCTGCGGCCTCGAGCTGTTTATGTAGCCGCAGCCGTGTCCCCGCGACTCGCGGTTTTCTCAGCGTCTTCGAAGCTTCGTCGTAATTGGGTCGAGGTTCACGCTCGAGAAGGTCGGAGAAGCCGGAAGGTATCGATACATCTCTACTGCCTTTCGCCGAGTCGCCATTTATGAAGGGGAAGGGAGCTGCTGTTGGTGGTGATGGTGGTGGTGGTTTAATTGAGATCCGTGTTTCGGATACATCGTAATTATTTAAATGTCAGGACAAACGCTACGTTCGCGGGATTGTCGGTGAGGTATGACGGTGCACGCGCGCGCATGTATATGTGTGTGTGAGTGATCTACGTAATTATGCCGTGGGTTCGCGTGTAGTAACGGCTGTACACGGCGTATTCTCGGTCTGACTTTACGTCAAAATATCGTGTTAAGCTCAACTAATGGCGGTTTCGCCCAATTCGTCGGCCGGTCCCAGCCGCGAGATCCGCGTCGCGCCGCGCCGGAAGGATCGCCGCAATATTCGCGTGCGATTGTCGCGAGGAAGGACGAAAAAAAGCAAAAGGAGGAGAGAAGAGAGCGAAGGCCCGGCGCGGCGCGAATCGGAGCACGCTCGAAGAACACAGCGCGTCTCGTCGGTCGTGATAAAATAACATTTACGTAACACGGCAGTGAGCGGCGCGGAATTTACTGGCCGCGATTATTATCTGGAAATCGAGACGAGCGTCACGATAATAAATTTCGCGATTTAAGATCTCGCGCAGGCACGCACGCACGCACGCACGCACGCACGCACGTGGATCGCGGTCGATTGTGTTTACAAGGAAGCGCGGTGGCTGCCAATCAAAAGTCGCAAACACGCCCGCGATCGCGCGTGTTGAAGTTCACGTTTGTAAGAACCCGGTCGGGTGGGGAAGTTTTACGAGCGAGTGTCGTCGCTCGTAATCGTCGGAGAAAATACGTGGTTATGTAAAAAGAGAGAGAAAGAGGGCGGGGGAGGGAGGGGATAAAGTGGAGGAGGAAGACGAAGACGACGACGACGACGACGACGACGAGGGGAAAGAAAAAAGAAGTCACGCATAAAACGTCAAAATTATTGGCCAATAAAGAGCGCCATGGCGGCTCCTCTCATTAGGATCCGCCGGTATCGGCGGTATCTAGCACCTCGCAATCAAAATTACGAGCGATAAATTGCAATAAAGACGCGCGGCAATCGCCACTCCGGGTTTTCGCAACGCCGCGCGCCGCGGCGACGGCGATTTGCATTTTCATGCTCGGTTTTACGATCTACTTACGCAACATTACTTCTGCCGCTGCACAATGAAACGCGCGAAACACATGTCTCGCTGGAGGAGGACGCGAGAGGGAGGCGAGAGCGAAAGAGAGAGAGAGAGAGAGAGAGAGTGTCCGAGGGGGAGAGGAGGACACTCGCGATGCCACTTATTCTCCGCTTTACGCGTCGCGAAACATCACCGAACGGGACGTTTTCCACGAGTCGAACGGCCCGATTGAAAAATCTGGCGCGAGACGCGAGTGAGGGAAGAGAGGAGGAGGAGGAGGGGGAGGAGAGGAAGAGCAAGAAATGATTCCGCGCTTTTCCGACATCGAAGGATGTTTCTTTCCGCGTCCGCCTCCCGCGGATAATCGGATTCCTTCGCCGCGATGAGGACGAAGAAAAAAGGATGATCGATGCGCGTTTACGCGCGCACGGCTGCGAGAAATTTTTCCGACGATTACTTTGCGGCGGAGATTCGGTCAGCGTCTATTTACATTTTACGCGCGCGCGCGCGATACACGCGGCAAAAAGAACGTAGATATTAACGCCCGCGCGCGCACAACAGAAATGCGATGTAAAGGGCGAATGTTACATCTTTCAAACGACCCTCGGCTTTTTCATTTTACAGGCCGGCTAAATAAAAAACACGCGCGCGCGCGATCCGCGAATGGATATTTCGACGGTGCGTTTCAGCGACTTCAATCAGAGAACACGGCGCATTTTCCGCTCATGAATTAATTGCAGGTTGCAGCGGCGACTCCGTCCTCCACCCCGTCCCATCTCCCTCTCTCGCTCGCCCCACGGTCCTGGCCCATCGGCGCTATCGCATGAATTACAGAAATTTCATGCGATATTAAATTGCCATTATCCGCAAAGTTGTTATCCGCTGTCAGGATCGAGATGGTCTTTTTCTCGAAAATTATCGTGACGTGTGACGGTTGTCGATCTCGATTTTGCCGGCTTCTCGTTTTAACGAACACGAGCGACGACAACGACGACAACGACGACGACGACTACGACGACTACGACAACGACGACGACGACGACGACGACGACGACGAGTGACGACGGTGAATTTCCGTTGATCGAATTGTTAACCGTGAACACGTCCCGGATTTATCGGGTTCGCCTCGCCTCGCCTCGCCTCGCTTCTCCTCTCCTCACCCCAACTCGTCTTCCTCACTCCTCCGCGTTATCGCACATCTCTCTTTACGGGATCTATCCTGACCCTCTCTTTCCTCCCGCCAGCCGTCGCGAATCGTGTGTTATCTTAACTTAACCCTTCCCTTCCCGCGGAGATTTCGACGTCCGATTGTTTCTGCGTAAACGCGTCGTTCGACTTACAACTCCTCTCCCCACCCCCGCGGTTGTGGTCGAAGGGACGAAGGAAGCGCAGGAGGAGAGTGGCATCCGTCCGTTCTCCGAAAGGGTCTCCGAAAAAGTTGCGTCGCCTCTTCGACGTGGTGATAACACCGTGCCGTAGGCTCGCGAGACGTGCGTTATTTTTACGCGCGCCGGATGGAAGGGAGGACACGGCTCTGCGCGAGTTCTCCTTGGGAATTACAGATCGTCCAGAACGAAAGCGTGATGGACGACGAGACGCTTCCGCTCGATCGCTCTCCTCGCAAACGTGACCTGCTTGTTACTCCGCTCCGCGAAAAACGCGCACGGAAGCACTCGAGGAGTTGGACGTGCGCGAGAACGCGGCTGCGTGACGACGGCTCGTCGTCGCGGCGACGTACGGATATATCTTCGCCCGTCGAAACGCACGAATGGCCGATTCTTTTGATTGATAAATGGAAACGCCGGTTTCGTGACGAGCGACCGACGACGCACGGTGATTTTATGTTTTTACCCACGAGCGAGCGCCGAGCGAACATTGCACAGTCTAATATCGTCGGACGGGGGGGGGGGGAGTAGCCGGAGAGTAGCGGACGCGGCGCGATCTCTTCGTTTGTAAATAACAACAATACCATGTCGACAATAACAACAACAACAGCATCAGCAGCACCGTCGCTACCGCCGCCTCGCGCGTGTTGTACGTTCTTCTTATCGCGCGCGCAACATCGCCGCCGACCTTCGAAGCGAGGCGAGACTCCCCGTCTCGGAAAAAGGACGAATGGTAGGGATAACGCGTTATCGGCGAACCAGCAGTCGCTGCGACCCTTATCTTAGCGGGATTTCGGGACCTCGATTTCGGGTTATCGCGGGGTCAAGAGCGAGCCGCGGCTATAGAAGGCGGCAAAGGACCAGGTCGAAAATCGCAAACGAGGGGATGTTTATGCCGCGATAAAAAACGCCCACTTGCTCGCCCTACTTTGCTCGCGATATTTCTTCATTCTGCTGTTTTCGTGGTCGTTGGGAGAAACGACACACGAGGCTCTTGTCTCTCATTTCCTCCTTCCTTCCTTCCCCGCCTCCCTCGCAGCGCGATTGCTCGCGTGTTTGCGAGATCGCGAAATTCTTACGCGCGACTTTTCAAACCGAAAACGCACAACGCGAAATTAAGCGTCGCATTCAACGAACGAGAGTGGATCGGAGGATCGTTCGAAATTAAGAGCGCTGAATGTAACGCGCGTCAGACGATCGCGTTTATATTGACAGCCTTCGGAATACAATAGCGTATCGAATAATTTTCAGCGAGTCACGTCGCGAGTCACGACACAGCCTTAATTTTAGTCCGCGATATCGGCTTTTTCGGGGCGCCAACGCCGAAGAGCGTCGGAGAGAGCGACACGTCGCTCGGATTGCGTCATAATCGTTTAATAGCAGCTCATTAATATCGTCGCGATCGCTCGGCCGACGACGTCGGCCAAGTTTCCGAATAATTCGACAGCCTTGACACGCGCTCTCTCTCTCTCTCTCTCTCTCGCACGCCTCCGCGGTCGATCTAGCACACGCAGATCCCGCGTAGACATATCCCGAATCTTCCGTGGACGCGCGTCGTTACCTGGTCGGGCCGCAAAATTAGCTCACGCGACCAAACACGTCGCGCGTTTCATAAATCAACATTTACGTGCCGTTTGCATAAACATTAATCAAAGTTAACCGAAGTTTAAGCGCGCGCGAGCTTCTCCGTCGTCGGTATGCCAGACGCGAGAGCGAAGGACCGGCGAAAGCGCTCGCCGAACCGCGCTCGATTTTGCCTGACGCAACGAAAAAGAAGGGGGGGAGAGAGAGAGAGAGAGAGAGAGAGAACGAAAGAGGCGGACGTTACGAAAGGTGCAGCCGGAGCACCGGCGCGATCGCTCCGCGCGATGCGGTCTCTTCGAAAGAGAACGAAAGATAACGAGAAAGTGGAGTAGAGGGAGAGTGAGAGGGGGGCGGGGGAGAGAAGGACGGAATAAAAGCAGAAAAAAGGCCAAAAGGAGGGAAGGGAAGGAGAGAGAGAGAGAGAGGGGGGGGGAGGAGACCGCACATTTTACAACCGCGAACGGTTGATACGTTGTACGCCAGCGTATTTTCGGTCCATGCGGCAATTGCGCTATTACTATTTCCCTCAAGGCATCGGGACACATATACATGTGCAGACGCCCGGTCGGGGCTATGTACACGTTTTATGATCACCACTGTACGTGTCCGCGAACCGTACATGCTTCACGTCAGATTCTCCCTCTCTCTTTCCGTTCCGCCTTTTCTCTCTGTCTTTCTTTACGTGTCTCGCGCGAGCGACGAGAAATTTCATTTTTCCGGGAGTGCAGCCGCCGCCGCCGCTGCTCTCCCCGCGCAGCGCGGCGCGGTGCGCGACGAAAAATTTCCGCCGGTATAATAATTCCCGCGGCGGAATTAAATTAGGCTGCGAACACATCGGGCCCGTCATTGCGATTCCGCATAGCACAGACGGGGCTCTCTCTCTCTGTGCAATGATTCGCCGCCGCGGTGCGGCGCGCAACCGCGAGACCACGTTCCGCTCCTCGTCGTTCCCTCGTGCCGTCGTGCGTATTATTGGGGGGGAAAGGCGAGAAAATTCGGTCAGTAAATATACGGTAGTACGTCTGGCCTGAATGTTATAATAAAGGCACCGGCGGCGTGCGTCGCGGGGAATTTAGCGCGAAGCGCGTTTTCGCGAAGGTACGCGTAGTTGAGAGTTGACGTGCGTCCTTCCGTCGTGAACGAAATTGTGCGAAGCTCCCTCGGATTTTTTCGGCCGACTCGACCGGCGACTCGACCGTTAAACCGCGGCATTAAAGCGAGAATGACGCGCGCGCGTGCTCGGATTTTGACAGAATTTTTCCTCACAAAGGTAAACGGGGGATCCTTAAATTTCTCCGTACAAAGAAATCTGGCTGACAGCCGTGAGAAAGATTCCGGCTCTCGTTGGAAGCATAAAGAGCACATAGGTAGTTAATTAGTACGCAGTGCGTGTTCTTGCGCACAAAAGGCTCCTTCTTGCCTCTCTCGGGAAACCGGAGAAAGATGAGAGATGGCACGGGGGGAGGGGGAGGGGGAGGTGAGAAGAGGAGAGCAGAGAGAAGGAGCAACCCTCCGCGTGTTATCGAATTCTGCAAACTTTGTTTCGCGAATAAGGTCTTTCCCAAGTGGAGCTCCTCGGAGAGGAGGCGTTTCCACATCTCGCGGACATTTATCCCTTATTATCGACGCCTCACCGCGGAATGTCAGGGCGGAGGAATCGCGAGTACGCGTGTGACGCGGGACGGTCAAACGGCTCCTTTCCCCTCACGGTCCTCTCGTCACTCCCGGCCCACCTCACAGTTTTCCATCGTTCCGCTTCTGCCGGCACTTCGATGCGAAAGTTCTGGCGCTGCCGGCGGCGTTAAAATACCGGCGGTGACGCCGAAGACACACACACACACACACAGAGAGAGAGAGAGAGAGAGACGCTGACCGAACCGAGGACGCGCGAACGCGTCCTCTTCTCGTTCTTTTGCAGGTCGCGATAAAATGCGAGACGCCGGTGGACCCGTACTCGTTCGTGGACGAGGAGATGTCGATGGGCGGCATGAGGTCGGCGAGCAGTCCAGGCGGCAATCCCGAGAACATGACGGGTCCGGGCGGTGCCCAACCTGGCCTGGGTACACCCACGTCGACGCCGCCCGGGGCGCTGGCCGGACCGCAACATCATCAGATGAATCTCGTGATGAACGGCGCCGTCAATCCGCAGCTGGCCCATCAGCCGAAGAAGCGCGGCCGCAAAAAAAAGTCGGAGATGATACTCACCCCCGAGGAGTAAGAGTCGCATATGTAATCTATTCCCGCCGCGGACGTCGCGTTCGAGCGCGCCCGTCGCCTTTTCTCCTGTAAAATCGCGCGGCCGAGTTGCGCGATTACGTCGGGATTGCGAACGAACGAACGCGCGTCGTGCTGTCGATTGTGTTGCGACGACGACGAGGGGGGGGGGAGAGGGCGAGCCTCGCGGGCGGGAGGTTAACGCGAGGGGGCCGATCGCGCACGGGGGGGCAGGGGGGAGGGGCCAGCCTCCGTAATTTCGTTGCTGGGCGAAGATACGCGCCGTACGGCAGCGCAGATCGCACGGCGCGATTACAGCGCTCGCTTCTCTCTTTCTCAAGCTCGCTTTTTACGGAGCGCGCGTACACGCATACGCGCGCCATAGCGCAGAGAAGGCGCGATTCCGGCGGGCTTTGGGTGCGAGCGAGGCGAGCGCGCGCGTCTATTTATACGCGATTTCGGCAACGAGCTATCGGGAGTGCGTTGCGAGCTTGCTCGAGCTTCAGGGGAATTTCAAGCTCGCCGTCGAGTAAGTATCCCCTCCTGCGCGCACTCACGCACCGTACGCACGCGGCGGGGCGGCAAGTCGACCCTCCGTCGCGCCGCGACGGATCAACCTTCGACACGCGGGATCGAAACGCCAAGTTGGAGCGAACGAATCTTTCGAGCGAGAGCGAGAAAGAGAGAGAGAGAGAGAGAGAGAGAGGGAGGGAGACAGAGAGAGGAAGAGGGCTTTATAAAGTTTCGAGCGCATCCCACGCCGGAGCGTGTTGTAATTAGAGGAGAAAAAAAACAAGGGAAAAAGAAAGCCCGTTAAATGACACCCCCGGGGGAGAAACGAGGCTGAAAAAGATCATAGGCCGGCCGGCGCGACTCGATATAACCGCAGTCAGTTATATATTCGCGTGCAGCCATGGTTAAAAATATCCGCTTGCTAACAATGTCCGTTCGTCTGACCGGGGCGCACACACCATGTTGCGCGCTGCGATCCGATGGGATCGGATCCTCAGTTACGCTTATTTTTACGCGCGGCCGGCCGAAAACTTAAAAATAGTTCCGCATATTAGGAACGCAACACGATCGTCGCGGCCGACCGGCACGGCGCGGCGCGGCGCGCCGCGCCGCCCCGCGCCGTCGCGTATCCGCTTACGCGTTGATAACGCGCGTGCCGCCGCCGTTCGCTCGCGTTACGGATCGCCGGCGGGCGAGGGGCAGAAGGGGAGAGTCGACGAAAGGGGGTATCAATCGACGCGCGGGCATCCTCGCGTGGAATTCGCGACGGGCTCGCTCGCGCGCGATATCGCCGCTCGGATCGCCGCTCGCTCGCGAGAGCCGATCTCTCTCGCCTGGCGGGGCTTTGTGTGCCGCGCGCCGCTCTCGGGTCCTTTTCTCCCCGTCGTCCACGACGACGACGTCAAAGCGTTATTTATTCGCGCATTATTCGTCGCGTCCTCGCACTCGCACTCGCGCGCGCGACTCGACGGCCGGCGCGAGAGACGTGCGACATTGTGTGTGTCACGAGTGCAAGACGCCGGCAAGACGCGCGCTCGCCGTGCTCATTCGAACTCGGCAAAAAGAGCGGACGCGGAAAGTCACGCCGCGTGAGCTCACCCCTCGCCGCCGGCGCGGCGCGGCGCGGCGCGGCGGCGCGCACAGAGCGCCGTCCGGCGTGCCGCGCTGAGAATCGAATGACGCGGCATAAAGACACCAGGAATCCGGCGCCGTATTATCACGGCCGTCTTTCTTTTCCAGAGCGGAGCTCGCGGAGGCCAAGAAGCGCGCCAAGACGTACAAAGAGAGGAAGAAGCACGACAGGTTCGACGGCATGCCGGAAGAGGAAGTGAGCAAGCGCGTCCTGCCGGATCATCTCACCAACAACCTTGACATTATTATAGTAAGTCCGTCAGGCATATAATTAATCCATTCTCGCAATCGACCGTCGGACCCGATTCGACAGATGCGCGCTCTTTTTTCATTTTTTTTTCCCCCCACATTTCCCTTTCTTATCCACCGCGATCGCGCCCCGAAGACGCGAATCCCGCAAATTGCAGCGGTCGAGCGCGGATAGGCAGGTGGACGGGGGGGGGATCTAGATAAAGAGCGAGACAGATAGGAGCGATATACTGGCTCAGCCTAATATCGATCGATTAAATCATCCCAAGTCGCGTTACGAGGCGCACGGCGCGAGCACCGAGCGAGCCATAAATAAACGAGATTTACTCGCTCGATCGACTCACGTAGGCGACATTTCAATTGTGGCGCGGATAGGCCGGCCGACTCTCCACACACACACACACACACACACACACACGCACACACGCGCGCGCGCGATGGCCCGATAATTCATTAATCGCGTCGTATAACACTAACAATAAAAACATCAATTTCGCCGGTACACATCTCCGACGCGGCGCGACGCGGCGCGGCCGCCGTGTACGTACGCGGACGGGACGCGCGTGTAATTTATAGCCCGGTTATATCGCGGCCGGCGTGCGTGTCATTTGTAATGCCGCATTACCAATGCGCCGCGATGCCGTTCTTGATCGAATGACGGCAATTAATCGGACGCGTGCGCGCGCCCGCTTGGAACGGCGCGAGGACTCGCGGCCGCCGCGAAGATTCATTCTCCTCCGCGGTGAGAGTCGCGCGTACGAAAACGAGCGAGGACGCCGTCTGGTTCGCTCGCGGCCGCCGACAAATGGCAATCGCCGCCTGCTTGATCGCTCTAATGATCCGTGCGCGACCCGCTTATCGCGCCGAGCGCCGATCGTTTGCTACGCGTTTGCTTCGTTCCGCGACTAGAAAGAGAGAGAGAGAGAGAGGGAGAGAGAGAGAGACAAAGATAGATTGAGCGAGAAGAGAGGGGGGGGGAGAGCTGGTCGCGACAGCTTGGACCAGTTTCAGCGACGTCGACTTTAGCTGGAACCTCGTTCACTCTCCCGTGTCGCGGCACCGATTCGCACATCGCTAAGAAAACCGGGGACCAAGTCGGGGAGGTGAGAAGGACGAGCCGATTGAAATCGGTTATTAAATCGCGCGCGCGGCAGTCGTCGTTTGACTGACGTTTGATTGGCGTGATAGTCTATTAAATAGCGCGGCGCGTTAGCGCGAGTGTTATTATACACGACTTCTTATTGCGCGTGCCCTCCTCGATACTTTTCTTTTTTATATTCGGCTCTTTATAGTTGCCAGAGACCAATTAATCTCCCGCGCGCGCGCGCCCGCTCTCGGTTTATAATGTTAGCCCCGTACTTTCTTCACGCACGCCACATTTCGAGTGGGTCACCGCGGCTCCACGCGACTAATTAGGAGTTGTAGTTGAGCGAGACGTCGCCGGCGGAAAACGCGACCATACCTGTCGGCCAACGCGAGCGGTGCGGCGATATAATCTCGGAACTCGTTGTCCGAGGACGAAATGAGAGAGAGTGGAAAAAAAAGAAGAAACAACAAACCGTCCGGAGTCGTTCACCCAGACGCGACGAGCGAGAGAGGGAGAGGGAGAGAGAGGGAGAGAGAGAGAGAGAGAGAGAGAGAGAGCGTGGAAGGTGCCACCGAGATTAACGATAAGTCAAATTATTCAAGCGGCCGGATCGCGCGTGCGCGCGCGGTTAAAAAAATCAACTGGCCCGAGTCGAGACGACAATCCGGAAACTATTTCTCTCCCAGCCGTACGTGTCATTTTCGTCACTGCGCGTTAGCATGATCTTTATTGAATGCAAGCGAGAGAATGGGAATTACGTTCTCGTTACAAACGCGACGAGCCGCCGCGTTGATCGATCACCCGATACCGGTGTAAACGGGTATAAACAGTTTAACGGGTGAGCATCACGGTCATTACGAGTGATTGTTATAATCCGATATGCGGCCGTCGTTATCAAAATTGGGGTGACTTAAATGACGGAACAGAAAGAGGGTGAGAGAAAGGGCGGGGAGAAGGGGGCCCGCGCGCTCGCGCGACGATTTCGGTATTTTAATCGCGCGGACGCGCGCGGAAACAAGCCGCGATGAGGTGTCGTCTCATTCCGCTTCTCGGTACTCCTGGAGATAACGAGATTATCTTATTTTCGGCAGTGCGTATTTGCGCCGGCTAGAGGTCGCGTCGTTCAATTTACCACTTAGTGTCGCGCGTGTATAATTATACCTTAAGTATGACATCTCGACAGGCTTTACGTAGCTCTAATAATAATTTATATATCTATGGCGGGCTCCCCTCGCTCGTCGCGCATTGAATTCTCGACAAGTGCAAAAGTCGTCGCGGTTTCGCCAGATGAGAACATCCGATCGCGCGCGCGCGCGCGCGAGTATCTTTGGCGGTCACGGATAATCCGCGACAGATTCCGAAGCTCGTCGCGAGCCGACCGATCGCGCTGTGCATCGTCATTAAACTCGACTCGGATTCACGTGGCAGATTCTTAACGCGGTTCGACGGTCATCAGCGACGAGCGTAAGAAGAACGGCGCGCAAAACTGACTTCCACTTTTCCAGCGACGCGAGTGAGCGAGCGAGAGGACAAGCGTGAGGCACGGGAAAGAGAGAGAGAGAGAGAGAGAGAGACAGAGAGAGAGAGAGAGAGACAGAGACAGAGACAGAGAAATCTCTCACGGCCGCGTTATTTATCCCGAAATAAGGCACGACCGCCGTCGGCCATTTCCACCGCGATCGGGGGAGTCTGTTAACGCACGGTCCATATTCATATATTACCCGAAACGAGTTGTCACCGTGGTCGATCATCCGTCAAGCGGTGTAAACGCTTTAACGGGCCGTGGGCAATTCGGTTATTACGCCCGACGTTGTAATCGAACGCAGCGGGACACTGTTCGGTGCTTCCCCATAGAATGCACCCCCTGGTGCACCCCCAGCGCGACTGTGCTCCCCCTCGCCCCTCCCTCCTTCGTCGCTGCCTCCCGCACATCCCCGTGCGAGCGCGGGCGCGGGCGCGCGCGCGCGTGCACGTCCTCGTCATTTCTATCCGTCCCGCGCTGGTCCCCTCCCCCCCCCCCCGACCACGTTCCCGCGCTCGTCGTGCCCCCCTCTGTCCCCCTCGCCACCCTCACCGTTCCTACGTGAGCGACGCGCGTTGTTTTCAATCGGTGACAATTCCACACCCTTCCTCACGTCCAACCGCCTCGTGGCCACCCCCGCCCGTCATTTTATCCTCGTTTATCCCGGCCGCCATTCGGCGCCGGCCGAGCGGCTAACGCATTGGCGTTAACGCGCTAATGCGATACGTACTTTATGTCGACGGCGGCGGCGCGCGAGGGGATGGCGACACACGCGCGGGGCGGGGGGGGAGGGGGTGTGGTGGTGCAGCTGTGTGTGTGTGGGTGTGTGCGCGGCAGGAGCAGGAGGAGAGCGGCAGGAGATGGAGGTGGAGGATTCGCTCGTACGCGACTAACAATATAACGCGATTTCGACGGCGCGCGATATATACGCGCCGTGGTGTGTCGTTTGCTCTCCCTCGCTCTTTCTGCCTCTTCGCCAGCCGCCTAGCCGCGCGACCTATCATCCCTTATCGTGATCGAAACTTCGTAATCGGGAAACGCGCGAAGAAGCTCCTCACGCGAGAAGAAACCACCCCGCGGAATTGCGAGACGGGGGAGGCACTTTGCGAGCTCCCTCCCTCCCCCCCCCAGCCTCCTGCTGGTCGCGCTCGTTAACGCGCGAATGATCGTTCCGTTCGTCAACGTACACATCATCCCCGGGTGATCGCCGCGGGTCGTCGGGCGCGCAAGAGGGAGGAGGGAGCCGAGATTCCGGAGATGGAATCGCGCGCTCGCCGGGAAAATCCGCGGCCGAAAAGTCGTCCTCACGCTGCTTAGATGGCTCCCTTCGACCGCACGACTCCGAGCGCGTAACGAGCGCGTTGTTCGCGCATTCGGCACATAACGCCGCGCGCGAGCGAGCGAGCGGCAGCGGGGCCGATTTAAACGCATCGCTAAACGGCGAGGCGCGAGAATAGCCGGGCGGCCGGCCCAGGCCGCAGCATCCAAACTAATCAGCGAGAGAGACCTTTCTCATTCCTCGCCGCGGACGCGCCGCGCTTCTTAATGGAACACGCGGCACGTCTCGTCCACACGCAGCTACGTGGCTGCGTGTTTACGTATGTACGTGCGCGCGCGCTCGCGCGACGTCGTCCTGCGGACGTGCACTTTGTCATGCAATTATCCCGAGGAGTATACGGCCGTTCCGTCGCGCGGTGAATGTTAATCTCTATTTACCGACGACGACGACGGAGACGGAGAAGCGGACACGTCGTCGAGGCTGGGCGCGAGATAAACGTCGATAAGTTACGACACGCCGCGCCGCGCCGCGCCGCGCCGCGCCGCGTCGCGTTGCGTCGCGTTGCGTCGCCCGGGAGTGAGCGAGAGAGATTGCTCCTCCTGCCGGCAGCGCCGGTGTATCCTCCTCTCTCGGTGCGCACCTTGCACTTGCGAAAAGGTCAGTTGCAAGTCGAGAGAGCGCGGGAGTGCATCGGCGAAGAGGAGGAGGAGGAGGTGGGAGGCGGAGGGGGAGACTTTAATAGCGCGCTAGATGCGCGCCTAATGGCGCCGCGCCGCGCGCATCACGTATCCTTGGACTTTGTCGTTATTAATTACCTAACCGGCGGAGCGAGGAGCGAAGATAATGCGGTTGTGCAACAGGTACCAACGCCGCGCACCTGCGCCTCCCCCGCCCTCCCCCCCTCCCCCCCCGTAGCCGTTGCATAATCGCGAGTAAGAAGCGCGCACGTGAAGTCGCGCGATACGGGGAAAGAAATCGATTCTCTCTCTCTCTCTCACTCTCCCCCCCTCTCCCCTCTCTCTCACTCGCTCGCTCGCTCGCTTGCGGTCTGTCTTCATCCTTGGCGATGCGAAACGCGATATTACGACGAAACGACGCGCCGCACATTCCAGGCGGAAAGTCGGGAGACGTTCGGAGTCTCGTAGCAGCGAAAAACTCGAGAGCCCCGAACATACCGAGTTAAGAAATTCCGTCCGCCGTCGCGAAGAAATTATCGCCAGGAAATCGTCCACCTCCCCTCCCCGACCTGCCACCGCCGAAGTCAATCGCGCCGCGCGAGTTTGCCTCCACCGCGGGAAGAAGCCATTGTTCCGGCGCGCTTCGCTGACGCGGCAGTTGCGTTGCGCGGGAAATCGAGGAAAATTGGAAGGAATATTGAGAGTAGAAGCGAGCGCAGAGAGAAGGAGAGAGAGAGAGAGAGAGAGAGAGAGAGAGAGAGCGGGCTGGGCTGCCTCGCGCGCGCAAACGTTTGCTGGAGGTCTCGCCGAGAATGTAAGTCACATGTGCGGTCCCGTGGGTCAAAGTGTAACACACAGAGGGACATTGATGCGCGCTATCAAGCGTTTAATAAATATTTTCGCGCGCGATGCGGCATTGAAGTCGACGCGATTGCGCGAGCGACGCAGCCTCGCTCGGAGTCTGTCCGTCCGTCCGTCCGTCCGCTCGCCCGATCGAGCGCGCGCGAGGGGAGCTGCGCATTTTGCGGATTAAAAACTCCCCATTGACGTACATACGTATCGACCTCATAATAGCGGAATTAATTTCACCGCATATAATATGAATGTGCACGCGCGCGCGCGCGCGTGTGTGTGTGTGTGTGTGTGTGCGCGCGCGCGCGCGCGTCCTTCCTCGCCGGGGCGTGCCTTTTTAGGCGGCTTTCGCAGTTAAATTAAACATTATGCATATAGCGGACACATTGAAGCTGCATCTCCATAATATATGCATCGTTTCGCTACGCGCGCGCCCTCCTCCGTCGCACTTTTTCCTTTTCCCGTTTCTTCTTCTCTTCCTCTTCGCTTCGTTTTTCTCGCCCTCCTGTCTCCTTTCTCGCGCGTTTATACAGTCGCGCGATCGCGGCCGCGAATTCCGCAGAACAGCTCGACGCATCGGCCGTGCGTCTCCGAGGAGACGCGCCCAAACCCTCGCCGGTACTTTTACTCGTGAAACTTCCCTCGTCAAATTCGACCCACCGACTTAAATCGCCACGCCGGGCGATCGATTGTCCGTGCGGTCGCAGGGGACGAGAAAGGAAGAAACGTCGCTTTTGCGCGAGTGCTCCTGCTTTTCCTCCTCCTTCCCTTCTCCTCTTCTATCCCAGAGTCCCGACTTGGCTTTGACAAGCGGTAGAAAGCGAAATTAATTACGCCGTCGATGTGAGCGCGGACACGATTCGTCCGCTCGGACGTTCTTCTTGCTCTGTCCGCGCTCTCGGAAAAACTCTCGGAAACTCCCGCAGAAGAGGCCGCGGAAGAGGCGAACGGCGGCCGATAGTTTCGCCGTATCGGAAACGACTTGGAAATAAGCCTGAGTAATCATTTCTCGGAGATTGACGCGAGGCCTCGAGCGTCTCAAAGAGGGACAACTCGCGAAAACGACTCGAGCTCGGTTTTCGCGTCGTCGTCGTCGTCGTCGCCGCCGCCGCTCTTTACGTCATCGTCACGACGTTGGCGGTAGTTGATTGATGTAACGATGAATTCACCACGTTTGCACTCGCGAAATCAGCGAGTGAGCGAAGCGCGCGCGATACTCGTCGCTGATGTCGCAGACTCGTCGGCCCTTCCGAAAGATTCTAACTAATTGTTTTACGTTCCACTTTTGCAGATCGGCATCAACCCCGGACTGTTCGCCGCTTACAAGGGACACCACTACGCCGGGCCTGGGAATCATTTCTGTGAGTCGCACCTCTTTCTACCTTGTTCCCGCTTTCTCGCGACACCCAGCGGAGTCGAAGATTATTCGCTCCTTCCCCCCTTCCCCTGGTTTTTGCTTATCACCGTCGAGAATCGAGCGCGGAATTTCGAAACGAGAAAGTTCAATATCGCGCTGCATCGTTACCGCGAGGATAAGTAACGCGACAACGCGCGCCTTGAGTTGGCGAAAAAGGGCAAGAAAACCGCGATAATAAACAGCAACGGGAATAGAGAATGGCAGTGTTTCGCGATGGGAACGAGGAGGAGGGAGGGGAGGGGAGGAGAGAAAGAGCGATAAGCCACAAAGTCGTAATAATAAGTGGGAGGAAGCGAGCGAGAAGAGCACGGAAGGAGAGAGAGAGATCTCTCTCTCTCTCTCTCTCTCTTCTTCCCTCTCTCTCGTAGCTACTGACAGTACTACTCGGGCATGAATTCGTAATTCGAATTCCGAACATCCGAATAAACGAGCGCCGATGTGTCTGACAATCGCGGCGCTAACGAACCCACACCATTACCATAGTCTTGCAAGCGAGCCTCGCCTTTGCGTCTCGAAGTTTCCGCATAAAATTGCATAACGTTATACTCGCTCCGAGAAAATCGAGCGTGCTTTGCGCGGCCTCGTCTTAGGTGCGCGCGTGCGCGCTCGGAGGAGAGTAATTATCAAGTCAACGGGAAAATCAGAGTCGACGAAGAAAAAAAAAAAGAGAGGGACGGGAGGAAGGGAACGGTCGAGACTCCTCATCCTCCCCCGGAGGCGATTATCGTTTAGAGCTCTGCACTCACGAGGGTTCGAACTCGCAGGGACTGAGAAAAAAATCGATGATTCGTTTTATAAAAGAGAAGCTCGTGCGCGCGCGCGCGCGAGCGGGAACGCGTATGTCGTCGCAAGAGGACTGAACGCGGTCGAATCGGACATGTTTGCCTGATGAACGCGCAATCACGATGAACCGCGTTCGCCGAAACTCCGTCGCGCTCCGAACAAATCTTGCGAGCGCCGGGGACACGGCGATCGCGCGTCACGAATCATAAATAGGCTGAAAATCGCCGGCTTTCCACTTGTGTGTGTGTGTGTGTGTGTCATCGCAAGCACGGCGAAAATTCCTCCGAGTGCCGGCAAAATCCAGGGAGAGAGCTCGTCGAGTTTTCCCGCCGCGACCCCCTGAAATTCCCTCCCCCTCCGCCGCCGTTCGAGCCCTCATTTCGCGCGTGCACTTCTCTCTCTCTCTCTCTCTCTCTCTCTCTCTCTCCCTCTCTCCCTCTCTCTCTTTTTTTTGCGCCCCGTGCACCGGAAAGCCCGGGATCTGAAATCGCGGGGAAGCCTGGCTATCGATGGGTGAAGCGCGCGCGCGAATCGCCGCAACGCGCATAAATCACTCGCTCGCTCGCTCACTCGGCGCGGCGCGGCGCGAGCGTAAAACCTACGGCATTATACGGTTATAATGCGGCAACGGCACACAAATGCGTGTACACCGCGTATTTATTTTTCCCTGGCTACGCCCGTAACGTCGATTAATACATTTTAATACGATTTATATGCAGCGTGATGTACCTATCTACATCATAAAAATCTTCATCAATTTTACGCGGAGCCTCGCACAACCCCGAGAGATGCGTACCAAAATAATTGAGTCTTGCGCGCGCGCGCGCGCGCGCACGCGGCTCGATAATATTTCTATTAAAAGTAGAGGAGTACACGCGCGGACGCGCGCTAATCTCGGCGTAGAATGCAAAAATATGCACGAGGTACCGAAAATAAATAACGGACGTTATTGGATACAAGTTGAGTTACGCCAAGCGCATCGTTCAAACTATGAAACGTCTCAGCCGTGCGCCGATGTGCGAACGAAAGAGAGTGAGAGAGCGAGAGAGAGAGAGAGAGAGAGAGAGAGAGAGAGAACAGAACAATTATCTCAGTCGACAAATAGGCGACAAACAGACGCAAGGCACCAAAGCATCTCCAACGGGGATCCCCCCTCGCCCGCTCGCCTGCCCTCTTTTCTTGGATCCGCGGGCTCGCTCGAGCGACGAATAACGATTACAGGCCGGCCTATCTTCGATGCAACTGCCGAAGCGCACGCACTCTGCAAGCACGTGCGTATTAATGCGGCCCCATGCACGGCGTATCGCTGCCGGGCGCCGATTTACGTGTACCTGCACGAGTCCGCGCTTATCAGCGGCGCGCGCTGCCGTACGCATACAACATGCTTAATGTATAATGTAGCGTAATATATAATATAAACGCACGGCTATACCTGCAGATTTACGCGCCCGATTATTGCGCTGCCATAATAGCCGGCAGGCGTTTACTTCCGTCGAAGTGTACCGCGATCAAATATTTGACCGAGCCGGCGTAATGACAATATAAGATATCGGGAAACATAAGTAAATGCAGCTCGCGCGCGCGCGCGCGGCGGTAACGTTAACGGCAAATGCAAACGACGATGTTATTATTTTATTATTCTGCGTGCTCCGGCCGCGCGAGTCTGAGACTGCTGACGCGCGCGCGAGATGTGGTCCGAGGACGCAGAGAGGACGCTTTCGTCGTATGCGTGATGCGATCCGCGGAACACGAAGAAACGTCGCACAGACGTCCTCTTCTCCGTCTCGTTAATCTCGTGCTTTTTTAACGCGACATTCCGCGACTCAACGCCGCGCCAACGACGAATGTCCGCGGAGTCCTGCGAATCTGCTCGATTCTCTCGGACGAGCGAGATCTCCGCAGACGAGGCGAGTCGACGCCGCAGCAGCCGACGGAGACGCGCGCGCGGGGCGCGTTCTTCACGTCGCGTCCAGGTCCTTATGCACGCAATTTCCGACGCCATGCACCGGCGCACGCAGGCGCGTGCGCGCGTGCATCCGCTCGGGCTTTAAATAAACAATTTTCGCGCTAACGGTCTGGCCGATGCCTATTACCTACGCACGCCACTCGCAGCGCCCGTACGCAATCTCTCGTGTACAGGGTGTCCCGGGTGGCCACGCATAAGCGGCTACGCGGCGAGTCGCTGCCTTGCTCTCGTAGTCGGCAATTCGACAATCCACGACGCGCGCTTGCCGTGAATCTCGCCTCTCCGTCGAGTCTCGCGGCGCTCTCGCGGACGGAGGCGTCGTCGTCGTCTTACTTTCGCCGCAGCTTCGCAGTCTCGTTCGCGTTGGAGCGAAGATGACGTGCGTGCGTGTGTATGTGTGTGTGTGTGGGGGGGGACTGATTCTCTGCGGTCCTCTCTGCGAGACTGGACCGAGGGGAAACATGCAATCGGGGAAATGTGGCTGACCCCCGTTCGACGCGTTCTCCGTCCACGGAGAAACGCTCCTCGCACTACCTCCGACGGAGCGTTTCTCGGGAAGAAAAGAGCGCCGACGATTCCGAGACACCCGGTATCTGCACGCAACCCCCGCTCGCGTGTGTCGCGGGCACACACTCGTACGCGTGTGTACCCGTGTGTATGCGTGTGTGTGTGTGCGTGCGCGCGCGCGCGCACACACACACACACACACTCACACACACACTCACTCACTCACATACTCATACACATACTCATACACACTTAACACAAACGTGAGCGCGTACACACATACACACACGTACACGTACACACGTACGCAACGGTGAAGTTAGGTGCACGCCGCTGGATTTTCCAGGGTTTTCCCAGGGTTGCGGTAGAGCGTTGAACCGGGTGGAGGGTGGGCGACGTGTAAGGGTGGAAGGGAGAGCAGCAGCGAGCGAGCGGATGGTGGTGGCTGCTGAGGCGGGCGACGAGGAGGAGGCGGAGGAGGTGGAGGTGGAGGTGGAGGAGGAGGTGGTAGAGGTGGAGGAGATGGTGGCGGCATGGGGGAGGGCGACAGAGGGATGCAGGGAACGAGAAAGAGAGGGAGAGCGTGCGGCGAGGGAGGGAGAAACTATAATGAGTGGTGCGCGCGCGAGGGAGAGCGGGATAAAAAGGGGGGTTGGTAGGGGGTCGTCGGTGGTGAGGAGGGTGGCTGGGCGGAACGGGGGAAAAAGCAGGGTTGGTACAGGGGTAAAAAGGTTGGAAGCTGTGGCAACTGCCGCGGCGGCGGCGGCAGCGGCGGCGGCGGCGGCGGCGGCGGTGGCGGCGGCAGCGGCGTAGGGGGGTGAAACTCCGCTCTCTCGCTGCGGACGGCGGTGGAGGGGTATGCGGGGGTGGATCGAGCACGACGGGTCAATTTGAGTATCCGGGGGAGCATAGGGGAGATGAGAGGGGTTGGCAGAGGGGCGGGCGGACGCATGGTCCAGGGGCCTAAAGGCAGTAAACGTCGAAAAATCCGACCGCGTTCGGGCCGTTCGATGGCACGGAAGAGGGTCGAAGCCGCGATCGACCATTACAACGGTCGAGTCGAGTATCGCGCGTCGTGCACCGGTGGTGTGCGCGCTGTAACGACGAGAGACCGCACCGGGGATAGGGGCGAACACACGCGAGTAGAGAGAGGGAGAGAGAGAAAAAGCGAGAGAGAGAGAGAGAGAGAGAGAAAGCGAGAGAGAGAGAGAGAGAGAGAGAGAGAGAAAGCGAGAGAGAGAGAGAGAAAGCGAGAGAGAGAGAGAGGGGGGGGCGGGAGAAAGAGAGATAGAGAGACAGAGGAGAGAGAAAGAGAGACAGAGAGAAACGCGGCTCTTTTCCGTAATTTCGGGGCGAGCCGGTAGGGTCGATTAACGGGGCCGTGATTCACCCGGTAGATCGGTAAGGAGGAAGTACGCTCGCTCGCTCGCTCGCTCGCTCGCTCGCTTGTACGTTTCGTACATTCGTACGCACCGTACGTTCGTTCGTTCATTCGTTCGTTCGGCCGAACGCCGGAGATCCACGAGAGTGTTTCGACCGGTTTTCTTAATCCTCGCGCGCGCGCTCGCGCCTTTGGACTCTGCGGGAGAAGAAGTGTGTCTCACCCTGTTGATCGTCGTGGTGATTTGACGTCGGAGGAACCGAGCAGGAACTTTGAACCTGTCCTTGGTGAAAAGTTGGATTCGATC